TTGATTCTTTTCTTTTCCAGCCTTTCTGGTTTTGATTTGCTGCTGTGTTTGTTTCATGACCCACTTTAGGCAAAGCTTTATGTGTTGAATAGATGGCCACACATTTTACTCTAGAATACTTTGTGCGTGAGACTGCACTCAGAGACTGCAAAGTGCCTGCCTGGACAGTTCACCAGTGGCTGCATAGGAAGACCAAACCATCACTCCTCCACCACCATGCTTTGCAGTTGCTACGATGAGATTTTTGTGCTGATATGCAGTGTTTGGCTTTCTACAAATGTGACTTTTTGCTTTATGGCCAGACATCTCCACTTTGATATGTGCCACAAGTTGTGCGGTTTGTTCAGATGTAACTTTGCAAACTTAAGATGTGCCTTGTTCACCTGGTATCTCTTCCAGACATGTCCTACTTGTTCAGTCTTTTTCTAATGGTACTGCCATGAACTTCAGCATTTAACACTCTAACTGAGGCCTGTCAAGTCTGAGATGTAGCTTTGCAAATATCCAATCAGCTTATACATCAAATATGATGTAAAAGCCACCTTATTGTAGATTTAGGCTCTGCAAACCCACATGGGTGCAGTTATTGTTATGAGCTATGTGAGGCAGGCAGGATTGGAGGACCCAAAATGCAGACTGGTGGACAAAACTAAACTTGAAATGCAGCTTTATGCTGGACTACAGTTATACAAAAACCAAACTGGACTGAACAGGAACTAAACAAGCAGGCAGAACACACAGCGTGGAATGAGGGAGATCGCGACAAAGGACAAATGGTGATGCGCACATACACAAAAGGGCAAACGAGGAAACACAGCTGAACATAATCTAACTAATGAGACAGGGGAAGCACAGCTGAACATGGAACACACAAGACAAGAGACTGTCAAATTAAAACAGGAAGTAGGAGAAACACACTGGGATGCAGACAGACAAAACCCAGGGAAAACAGGAAAGAGAGAGCGAGGGGCATGCAGCTACACCAGGAGACGAGACAGACTTTACAGGAAGGCATAACACAGGAGATGATGGGGAGGACACACAGAGACAAGACCAAGAACTAGAAATACAGATAACTAAACTAGGAACAAGTCACACAGAGAAAACAATAATGACTTAGGTTGGATATATGCGAAGCTCCACTGGAAATCCCTAAACTCTATACACTACTGGAGCTGATGAAGCATAGCCGCAGGAGAGTAAACGAGAGTGCATCTGCACAGTCCTGTAAATACAGGGAGTGCAGAATTATTAGGCAAATGAGTATTTTGTCCACATCATCCGAAAGCCTACTACCAATTAAGCATATTAGGTGATGCGCATCTCTGTAATGAGAAGGGGTGTGGTCTAATGACATCAACACCCTATATCAGGTGTGCATAATTATTAGGCAACGTCCTTTCCTTTGGCAAAATGGGTCAAAAGAAGGACTTGACAGGCTCAGAAAAGTCAAAAATAGTGAGATATCTTGCAGAGGGATGCAGCAGTCTCAAAATTGCAAAGCTTCTGAAGCGTGATCATCGAACAATCAAGCGTTTCATTCAAAATAGTCAACAGGGTCGCAAGAAGCATGTGGAAAAACCAAGGAGCAAAATAACTGCCCATGAACTGAGAAAAGTCAAGCGTGCAGCTGCCAAGATGCCACTTGCCACCAGTTTGGCCATATTTCAGAGCTGCAACATCACTGGAGTGCCCAAAAGCACAAGGTGTGCAATACTCAGAGACATGGCCAAGGTAAGAAAGGCTGAAAGACGACCACCACTGAACAAGACACACAAGCTGAAACGTCAAGACTGGGCCAAGAAATATCTCAAGACTGGTTTTTCTAAGGTTTTATGGACTGATGAAATGAGAGTGAGTCTTGATGGGCCAGATGGATGGGCCCGTGGCTGGATTGGTAAAGGGCAGAGAGCTCCAGTCCGACTCAGACGCCAGCAAGGTGGAGGTGGAGTACTGGTTTGGGCTGGTATCATCAAAGATGAGCTTGTGGGGCCTTTTCGGGTTGAGGATGGAGTCAAGCTCAACTCCCAGTCCTACTGCCAGTTTCTGGAAGACACCTTCTTCAAGCAGTGGTACAGGAAGAAGTCTGCATCCTTCAAGAAAAACATGATTTTCATGCAGGACAATGCTCCATCACACGCGTCCAAGTACTCCACAGCGTGGCTGGCAAGAAAGGGTATAAAAGAAGAAAAACTAATGACATGGCCTCCTTGTTCACCTGATCTGAACCCCATTGAGAACCTGTGGTCCATCATCAAATGTGAGATTTACAAGGAGGGAAAACAGTACACCTCTCTGAACAGTGTCTGGGAGGCTGTGGTTGCTGCTGCACGCAATGTTGATGGTGAACAGATCAAAACACTGACAGAATCCATGGATGGCAGGCTTTTGTGTGTCCTTGCAAAGAAAGGTGGCTATATTGGTCGCTGATTTGTTTTTGTTTTGTTTTTGAATGTCAGAAATGTATATTTGTGAATGTGGAGATGTTATATTGGTGTCACTGGTAAAAATAAATAATTGAAATGGGTATATATTTTTTTTTTGTTAAGTTGCCTAATAATTATGCACAGTAATAGTCACCTGAACACACAGATATCCCCCTAAAATAGCTAAAACTAAAAACAAACTAAAAACTACTTCCAAAAACATTCAGCTTTGATATTAATGAGTTTTTTGGGTTCATTGAGAACATGGTTGTTGTTCAATAATAAAATTATTCCTCAAAAATACAACTTGCCTAATAATTCTGCACTCCCTGTATGTCTAATTAAGTGATAAAAAAAAAACTGGAGTTGGATTGGACCACGGGCATGGAGAGCCTTTAGAAATCCAAGTGCTCAGAAAATGGTCTCAGCTGGCTTCATCTCTACGAGCTACATTAAAATTCAGCATTTTAACACATCATTTATAACAATTCACAAATTGATGTGACACTCTGAATGGTGCCATTCTGCATGTTGAGTATTTTCACTTTTGACACTTTAAATCCATTTTGCTGCTCAAACATTCATGTATTTCTAAAGCCAATCTGTGAATGCAAAACATCTACAGTCTCTTACTTTGCAGGACTGGATCAAGAACGAACAAATTACATCACTATTTAAACTTGCAATGCTCAGTTTACATAAAGCGCATGTTGTTCAAAAACCAGATAGATTCAGAAGGTTAAAGGTTTTTGAAATCTAAAAATAGGATTTTTTTACATTTTGTAGGTGTTGACAAACTAAGAAGGGTCACTTCCTTCCTTTCTTGCCGTGCTCCATTGTTGGCTAAATGTGTAATAGAAATTTCTGTCTTAATCTGGTGCATTTAAAATAACATTCAAAATAACCTTAATGAGTTTTGAAATAATTGCTTTAAGCTGAGAGCTAGCGGCCATCGTGCACTACACAGACAGACATAAAAAGTGTCTGCACAATGCATAGGCCTACAGCGTGGAAGGCATCTCATCTGCATACACTACACCCAATGGTGAGCAGTTAATTACTGAAAAAATGAAACAAAAATGTGTTGTCATTATGCTAAAATCAAAATTGGCTCCCACTGAGGATACATTTCCCCCACACGTGACAGATTGTGAGAACATTTGCGTTTTATAGCTCGCCTAATGTCCTTTGCAGCCAGAGAGACAGAGAATAATCTGAGCTTCCATAGAGCCATAGGAGCAGATCAATAGGATGTGCTTACTGTGATCATTAGAAAAGGTTATTACCATGTGCGAGAATAGATCCTGCCGGTTCCTGACATTGTGCATTCTGTAGCCATTACGGATCTTGAAGATCTGAGTAAAACGTGAATCAAATGTTAAAAAAAATATAGATGCATTAAGAGATAATAGATCTTCCCCTGGAAAAGAAAATGGAATAAAAGCTGCAGGAAACAAGTGCATTTCAGGGTTTTAATTTATGGGCATCACAATGAGGAGAACAAAAAGCACACAAGGAGAATGACAATAGAGCTACTGTTCGTAGACAAATAATAGATAAAGGCATCCTGTAGCCACAGGCCTGTGGTCTCTGGTGGTATGAACAGATACAGCCAGTGCTGCACTGCTCTCTAGTGGTCAAGTGAGGAATGTAAGGAATGTGTGCACACTCAAAAAGCTGTTTGCTACAAATAAGTGATGACTCCTATAAAATCTTTCATCTTTAGTATTAAAGGTTTTGCTCCTATTAGCCTGACTGGAAAGACAAAAACCCACAGAGGGGATGAGAGATCATATCACACAAGTCCTTAAAACCACACATCATAGTGGGTAAGCAGAGGAAAGCACATTAATTCTGTTGTTGCTTATGTTCACAGCGTGCAGTAATAATCAGTTTATTTATTTCAACATTATTTTTACAGTATATTAAGTAGTTTGAATGACCTTTAAAAGTAATTTCAGTTCCCAAATGAGATTCTCTCTTTGACACCAAACGGGTGGCAAAGAATAGCATAGTCACTCATTTTGGAGCAGAAGAGATGAAAGAAGAAACACTATGAGTGCAGTTTAAAGATTTGTGGTATGTGAAGGACAGGTACACTGTATTCAATTTGAATGGAGCTTGTTTGTTTCGATGTTTTCTTTGTACACTTGCGTATTCCTTTTTTATGACAAGAACTATTACAATGTTTTTGAGTACTAGAAAAACATTTCTCTTTGAGCAGCAGACGATTTGTTTTTATAAAAGACGCCAATAGAAATGTCAAAAGTTAACAATATGTGGGACAAGGGGACACAATACTGTGCAATCTTACATAAAGTGGGAGTTTTGCTGTAGTTCAAAAACTTCCAGTGCAGAGTAAAAAAGCATTTGGAAAGTTTGCTTTGAGAGCAGCTTTGCCCAAAATGTTGAGGATTAAATGTAAATCCTGTTTCTGTTCTTTGAAATTTTCACAAATACTTTGAACACATACCGACATTAATGTCACAGCACAAATCAGCATATTGTACTTCCCGCCCTGAGTGTGTGCCTGACTCTGTGACAGTAAATAATCCAGCTTGAATTGCAAAGAGCTTTCTTATCCTTTCTTTATTGGATTAAAGTCATCACAAGATTTGAGTACAAAACATTTACAAAGCTTCCAAAACGTCATTCAGTGTGTGCAGACACCTGTTCATCTCTCACTCAATTTATATGATCAGAATTTAAGCAAATACAACCAAAGATATAAAAATACAGAAGAGATCGGCTCACAAATAGGTTTAGAAAAATATGTAAAAACACGAAGAGAAAGATAACGACATATATAATAGTATCTCTATATGTAATATTAAGTGAAACCAGGAAGAAGGATTCGATCTATGGTTTAGTGTATGCAGTAATACTGTGGGTGGTTAGTTCCTGACCAGTAGGTGGGACTAAAGAGCCAGAACGTTCTCCAAGTAAAGGTGGAAAACCGATTTTAGAAGTGTTTTGAAACACTGAAGACAAAGAACATCGTGAAAACAGTTACACAGCATTTGATAAAGTGGTAAAGTCATACATTTTGACGTGTGCTTGAGCTACCTTTAAACTGTCAGTGCGTTATTTTATTTACAAAGCAGCAAACCTGTTGCTAAGTATTTCACGTCTTTGCTTTTGCTTGACGTTTCAAGAGGCCTCGATCTTCATCTCCATCCCAGACGGCATCGAGCAGGCGACAGTCGATCAACCTCCCGGTGTTTTGAGCAGTAACTGCAGTTACTTTGGTTTTTTGGATGGTTTGATGTCAAAGAGGAAGAAGGCTTCGCCCTCAGATCATGAAGGACTGAGTTTGTTTGTAGTGCTTGAGCTGTAGGGAGCAGAGAGACATACAGTGACACATTTCCTTTCATTAGCTTGTGCCTGGTGTTATCGGAAGCTTATCAACAGTTGCATTCCAAATGAATGCATGCAAAACAAGCCCTGATTTGATAACGAGGCCTTTGATCACTCACATTGCGGGTGGGAGGAGGAGGAGGGTTGTAGGACTTGGTGCTGAAAGGCAAGGGGGAGGGCAGTTTAGTCAACACTTATTATTTTGGAATAACAATAAGGGCAACATGCAGGGCGGAAGAAGAAACTCTCACCTTTTTGTTTTCTTGCTCTCTGTTCGAATAAAAAACAAAGAAAAAATTAGTCAATACATGAAAATTTGTCAGTTGTGGTCACAATACCTCAATTCTGGGAGAACTCGAAAATACAGAGATTTACTCAAGTAGTCATTTTTATGTTTAACTGAAGTTTTTCTTATTAGTTCTGTTGGGTCTCTACCAAACCCTTCATTTAGTCACCAAATGTGTCTTTCTGTTATTTGGTGCTAAGTCCGGTTGTGCAAAGAGAGTTTATTGGTGAAAACAACTGCTTGCAAGAAACAGTGATAAGAAGAGCAGTAAAACAGTAAATCTGAAAGCAGTAAAATCCAAACAATTGAAAGGGGTTTTTTTAGGTAAGGCTTTAAATGCAGGAAGGATTCTTTCACGAGAGCATTTTTAAATGGTGACACTATGTTACTACATATATCAGAGTTGTTTTCTCTGTGCTTCTCACCTTATTGTTGTTTTCAAAACATTAGCATGAGCATTAGAATTACAACCTGATCAGAAGAATAACCAAATACTTTCTGCAAAAACTATTCATTTTAATATGAAAGACTGGCAAAGAGCACCTCTTCCACCCAAATAGCTCTTGGATATTTGATAAAGTACCGTGTTCAGAAACACATACACGTGATTGTTCTCATTCTAATTTTGTTTACAATTAAACTTTGCATTTGTCAACTCAATCCTGTTCCACGGCCATAGACGAAATTCATCTAATCTGGTATTTATTTATTTTTAAATAAAAGGCTGAATCCATTGCTGACAGCCTAAAAAAATAGCTGCTCACTCATCTGGTTGCTTAGGTGCAGATCAATAAATTGACATGCACTCTGAGAAACAAGTCCAAATGGATGGACTAAATATAAGTGAAGGTGTGAAAAAACAACACGTTCTCACTCCCAAACATTTTACGCTAGGTGACAAATCATCGGTATATTACGCTTTTGGTCACCCAACACATCCCTATATTACGAGTTCGAGAACCGTTTGGAATGAATCTACACATGTACGTTTATTTTACTTAAATCGCTTTGGAAAACACTATATAGGATTAAGGTTAGGGTTAGGGCTGGAATACACAGCTGGGTTGTGTGTTACAGCGGGAGTATCATTCGATTTCATGCACAATCTGGTGCGTAGCATAGGAACGCAGATGGTCACCTTTCACATTCCCATGGAACGCCTCGGGACGTGACAAATCGTTGGCATATTACGCGAATAATGCAGAATTATTACATGACAGGACGCACTCGAGTGTTTTTCTCACACGCCTAAACGCGCTATTTTATCCTGTTTTCCTTCTCTCACCCCAACCGGTCACAGCAGATGGCCCCGCCCCTCGCTGAGCCTGGTTCTGCCGGAGGTTTCTTCCTGTTAAAAGGGAGTTTTTCCTTCCCACTGTCGCCAAAGTGCTTGCTCATAGGGGCTCATAGGATTGTTGGGTTTTTCTCTGCATGTATTATTGTAGGATCTACCTTACAATATAAAGCTCTTGAGGCGACTGTTGTTGTGATTTGGCGCTGTATAAATAAAATTGAATTGAATTGAACACATTTGTGGCAGCACTGCACTACTTACTTTTGCAGCAGCCTCGGTGTCGGCAGACACACACACAGATGCAGCAGAAAAGCATGAACGCTGCCAAACCTGCAGCACCTGCTATTAAAATCGTCATATTCAAAGGATCTGGAAGCAGCAGAATCAGATTTTTTTTTAATATTTGGTCTCCAGAGCGTGATGCATAATCTCCAGTGAGTACTTTCTTAAAATACTTACAGTCAATAACTTTGAGTTGTTGGGCCACACAGCTCTTGGGCGCCCCCACACTGTTGGAGGACTCACAGCGATACATCCCTGCATCCACCTTGGACACACTTTTAAACTTCTGCTCCAGACAAACAGAGGCAGGCGGCAGGGTACACGAAAGGAATAACAGTTGTGTTTTTGGACCCTTGTATAACATTCTGTACATTATATTATATTGTATTTGAAAACTTTAGGTAGCACTCACCAGTGTGCCCTTGTTTGTGTCAATGCTGTAAGGAGTCTCTCCCGTGGCTGTTAGTGCCTTGTTGTCTTTGTACCAGCGGTAGGTAGCGGGAGGCACACTCAGTTTGTCCTTACAGAGAAGCTCCAGGCCTGACCCTACAAACACAGAGCTTGGCACGTTGCAGGAAGGGACATGAGGCGGCACTGAGAGGGGGGAAAGACAGAGAAAGGTAAAACTATATATTTTTTAAATATATTATGTTTTCAATTTGTAAGACAACACGAAAGTCTCCCTACAAATGCTTAAAATGTTAACATCTGCATAGTGTAATATCACTTAATAGACTTTTTTAGGCAAAACTAGAGAGGTCTGATGATTCCTTTTGTTATAAATTATGTCAGATTGATGTATTGATCTGGAAGTGCATTTCCTGCAGCCACCAACCAAGTGTCTATTCAGCCAAACATGTTTCCCATACATCACTCCAGAGATATCAGTCAAAGTGAGGCTTTCACACGTGCCAGCTGGGAGGCTGCCAACCAGGAACTCCACCAACAAAAAACATTTGTGCGATCATTCTTTTAAGATAAGATAAGATAAGATAAGATAACCTTTATTAGTCCCACACGTGGGAAATTTGTTTTGTCACAGCAGGAAGTGGACAGTGCAAAAGTTATGACGCAAAAATTAGAATACAATAAGAATAAATACAGTACACAGCTGTACAGAATAGAATAAAATAATATACTATATACAGTAGAATAAAATAGAATAAAAATATACAATAAGATAAAAATAGAATACGAATGCTATATACAACTGAGAAAAAATTATTGCACTTAGTGTTATTGCACATGTGTGGATGTGTGTGTTTGTTCAGTTAAAGTCTTTGTTGTGGAGTCTGACAGCAGTGGGGAGGAAAGACCTGCGAAATCTCTCCGTCCCACACCGGATGTCCACAAATGACCAACATGTGAGCATCAACCTACATTGAAATCTAACAATGTAAAAGAAACTGTGTGTAGTTTTACCACAATATGATGACACGTGTGACTTCACGACTTGTATTAAGAGTGCCAACAGAATTTATCCGTGAAACTCTTGTTTTGCAACCATGTTATTTTTGTGAAAGTATATATGTAATCACCTCAAATGACATTTAGATTTAATAATAATGAGGCTTTTTTTCAATAAGTTGGTGAATAATCTTAAAGAAAATTAAACTACACTGGCACAAAACAGTCTGCCTGTTGCAACATATCCTAATGGAAGAGATTATAAAGTTTATAAGAAGTTGTTATTTGCACAATTTCTGTGGTTTGCCAAATATATCTCACACACTCTGTAAACTCATTACTTCATGCTGCAAACTGCAAAACCCCCAAAATCTAAATTCTCTTTGGAAATGTAAATAAAATGGGAACAATATCAAAGGGCATCCAGAGGTATTTCTATGTGCGTGCTGGACCTTCACGTGGAAACTAGAAGCTTGGATCTTTGTGCTATGGCAGGAATGCATAAACTACTGAGTCGTTATCCTCGAACCTCAGAGAAACAACCATATCTCTTCGAGCAGGAATGCACAAAATAGTCAATTCATTTATAATTTCTGAAAGCTGAGTGAGGCAATGTAGACTTTTGCCTGACAGCCTTGAGTTCAAACGTTCAGTGCAGAGTATATTCACATGTACCGCACAGGGAAGAACACAACATTGTGTTTCCTTTAAAAGTACCATATGTGTCTTGATTAAAATCACAATGAAAATAAAGAATATATATATTATTATACATTATACAAGTTATGAATCTAATGTTACTTTTCCCATTTTTTCTCATTTCAAGCTGAGGATGTGTCAAAGAAACCATTTTTACCTATTTCCAAAAGATACGAAATAACTCTATTTTCTCTTTGAATGAAATGTCAAAATGTCTTCGACATCACAAAGTTCATCTTGATCTGAAGTGAGATAACCTAACATCCCACATCATATAATACCACACTTCACTGATGGCTAGTGGGTGGCTGGCCTAACATTCATAGCAGCAGGGTGGCTGATTTGATTTCATCTGGCTAGCACTTTTACACATTTAAGTTTTAAAAATGTTGAAACACAAAAAATCAACCTGATTTATTAATAGATTGTCATTTTTAACACCTATGCACTACCAAGCCGCTCGGATATTGTGTAACAGCTCGTTTGCGCTCACCATTTTCGGTGTGGTGAACAGCACCGTACAACAAAAGTGGCAGAAAAGGTCTCAGGGATTTCATTGGATGTGTCCAAATTCAGGGATCGCATCCTCAAAAGGACGTAAAGACAGAGACGCACAGAAGTTCTTAGCTGTTAAACTGGATGCTCTGCTCCTGTCACCTAGCAACCATTACCATGTATCTTGGACATCAACATTTGACAGAAATGGAGAAAATCTTTGTTCTATATCATTTTTTTTTTACCTTAATGGAGAAAATTATGATGTATCTGTTGTTAAATGAACACGACATTTGAATTTGCACAACATTTGTCGCCTCACTGTGATGTAATTGAAGGATGACACACCTTCTGCTTTCAGATTTGACTTCTTTTCCACATATACGAGCGCCGATGTGGAGGTTTTGCCTGAGTGGAGACACCTGATGTAAACAGTACAGACCTGTGGTGATTTCACTGTCTGTGCAAAACAACCCATGTGCCAAGCATAATGGAGAGTTCTACTAAAGTTAGCATGCTAATAAAGTCATGGTGGTCCAAAGGTTAATGTAATATGGCTATAGCCTGAGATGGGGTAGTTACTCAGAGTAGCACCCTGTACAGCAGTCCAACATAAACGGATCGGGCACTGAGGTAACAGTTATAATTTCCTATCCATAGCAGAGCGGATTCAGAGTGGCTGCTCCATGCTATCAAGAAACTGCTTCTATCGTAAATTACTCCACATATTGCACCTTTAACGACTGTCCTCACCCTAATCTCACAATTCAGGTGAGGGAGGCTTGTGTGAATTGTTTGCAGTTATTTGTGCAATACAATCACATTTAAAAGATTTGCTGTGAATCCTCCTGGTTCCACCAACATGTACGTTATTGTTTCACATGTCACATCACAGGAGTTAAGTGCCATTGACTTGCACCCTGAAATAGTTTAGTGTTCACCTCTTACACAGATCTGTCCTATCCCTATCCTTATGTACGTTCGTAATATATTCATACCAAGAACATTAAGTGTCACAGTGGCCTCTCCGAGGTTGACGTGATCCTCGCTGGCTGTCACCTCACAGCGGTACTCCCCTGAATCTTTCTGAGTGACGGAGTGTATCGTCAGCGTCGCTCCCTCTATCTTAGCCCGTCCAGCGTAAGACCCTAAAGTGCAAAAGACGGAGAATGATGAACAAAGAAAACAATCAAAGCAAAGTGTCAGCAAACATAAAAAAAAAGGCCACACAAAATCTTCTTTATTAAATCAGGTTAAGTTTAAAAACAAATGCGTGCAGTAATGATCCGTCACTCACCTGTGAATTTGTGATTAAAGTAAACAAAAGTCACCCCCTTTCCTTTCTTCTTCCACTCGATTCGAGGGTTCTGATCTTTCTCTGTCTTGAACTCACAGGACAGCACAGCGTCTAAAAGTAAAAGTAAAACAATATTCATCTTTAATCCTTACGTTACCTTTTTTAATGTCTCAAACTAATTGATTTTTACCAACTCATGCACACTCATGACTACGGATGATGTATTTCTTTATTTATATCCATGTATTCTGAAATATATTCTGGTAGTTGCAATTTTCAATAAAGAATAATTATTTGAAAGTGTTCAGTTAACATGAATGTGTTTTTTTAGAGGAGAAAAAGACAGAAATTGGACAATATGATATTAGATATGTTTATATCTAGTTTGTTGTTTTCCTATTATTTGGAATTACAATAGGTTAAATATGAAATATATTTTATTAAGATGAAACAATAAGACTGTGGCCATTTTAAGATAGCAGACAAATTATGTTCAGGAATGTGAAAAACTGCAGCGTCGGTCTCACCAGTGTGCTCGTGAACCTCCACTTTGGGTTTACTGCTGCTTACTGTCACTGATAAACTGACAGGACCTGCAGAAGAGAGAAGATCAGCGTCCTGTGAAAGACCAGTTTTACTCTCAGACCATCGAGTACAATCTTTAAATGTTTACTGGAGCACATAAATGGAAATGTTAAACATCTTTATAGTTTCAGATCAAGGAGCTACATGGTAAACCATCAGACACAAGAAGCTTACTCATATGTAAACAGGACGTTTGCTTAATGCTTGGTTTTTGTGTGGAAGCAGTCGCACTCACACACATTTGACTTTCCAGTCGAAGCCTTAACGCAAAGTATAGAACAGCAGTAATAACCTGTGGGGCTTGAATGTTCTCACAACGCAAAATGTTCTTCACAAGAAAAGTTTCAAACTGCAACTGGTGCCCATAAACATAGTAATACATGCCGACAGAGACAAACAGACACTGAGTGTGGAGCTACATCCTGGTGGTGCCAGGAGCGGTGCTGTGCAGGAATGCAAGTGATGGATGGCCCTCTGACAAGCTGCTTTAAGGCGACCTGATAACCGCCTTCAGTGATCTGTCCCTTCAGCACACGCAATCAAACACCCACGTTTACCTCGACATTAAGCAGACGCCTTCAGAAAGAGATAAGAGAAAATAATTTAGAGTGACACGCCACCTAAAAAATAAATAAACGCTTCAAACGTGGCTGTAAAATCTGACTTTTATATTATTGGCAAGCAATTTTGCTGGAAATAAAGTTTTTATTGTAGAACTTGGAAGCTTCGCAGAGGTTGCTGTTACAGGATACTCCCTTGACATCACGTAAACTGAAGCGGAGCTGCTTTGTGAAACTTAAATGTGTCACGTGACCATCAGCTGTAAGTGTGCTTTAAGTAAAAAAAAAATAAACATTTGAAAGCAGCAGAGAGGAGACTGGTAGTAAAACTGAATTACATAACAGGCTTGTACTTGAGGATTAAAGATGGAGAGAAAGTGGGCTGGAACGGTCCTTCAGTTAACGAGCAGTTAAATCCGATAAACAGATTAATGCATATTACTGACCAATGAGTTAATTTTTCATGTGCTGTAGACTGACAGTATGGATTATGCTCAGTAATAACAAAATAATGATATCCCACAGCCCACTTGTGCTTTTAACGCATCTTTTCTTTTCTTTTTAACGGTGTTCAAAGTTTCAGTCACTCCGTCCAGCATTTAGCGATACAGAAGAGGAGCGAGCATGAACTGAGTGACATTTTTTTGGCTGGTGATTTCAAATAAAACTTGCAAACAGCTCGAAAAATACGACAAATATGTGGTAAAAACATTGTGTGACAAAGTACTTCTGTGCAGTCTTACATAAAATAACTGCTAATAAATGCATAGTTGTAAATGTGAGAGATGGAGAAAGAGGTAAGAAAAGAGAGGACAAGAAGATTTTTAAGGGTAGGAAATGGTCATCAAGTGAAATCGGTTTAACTTGAAACTTGAAATTTAAATCTTACATATAATGTCCTAATTGATTTTAGAGTTTTTAAACCCGATTTTGGAATTATACATGTGACAAACTAATTGAAGCTTACAAATTCTATGCTATTCAAATTTGCGTGAAAATACCAAGCAGTCTGGTAAAGTTTAGTGTTGGCTAAACCGATACGTTTGCAGTATTGTAGTGACGTTTACTGGTGCACAGCAGGCTGTGTTGTCCGTGGGCAATGTTAGGATGTATATAAAGGGTAGGAGATACAGGAGAGGTGGAGGAAGATCTCAGCCTGGGTGTTTATTGTCTTATGTAGTCTGGAAGAAGAGTGGATGGTGGGGTGGGTGCAGTTTTCTCTGTGGTGGGGTTGGGTGGACTGTCCCGGGCTCTGTGGGGCCGGGCGGCGCTGCTGCACTGGGCCCCGGTCTGGATGGGCCTGGGCCCCCTTTCCCTGGCGGGTCGCGGAGTATGGGGGTGCCTACTGGGGTCAGCGGGGGAGCTGGCCCCAGGGAGGGGTCACTTGCCCCTCCCTTCCTTCCCTCCCCATCTCCAGCTGCCTCCCTCTTCCCGCTCCACCACAACCACCCACACATGCAGGGCCTTGGAGTAGGGGTATGTCACCAGGGTGCAGAGGAGGCTACCCCCCCCTCTGTCCCCTTCTGGCTGCCTCTGCCTCAATTTTATCCCACAACTTAGACATTCACATTACTCACACTCTCATTACACATACATATAGGATCTTGGGGGTGGGCACGATGCACGGAGTCCAAAGTACCATCAGGGTGTACACCCCACCCCTGGCATCGTTGCCCACCTCTCAATTTTAAATACACGTAGACATTGAGGGCTAGCAGGAGGGACCATGCGCTTACCTGCTGCTCTCTGGCAGGTAGCTCCAAGCCCTCCTGGGTTTTAAATGCACCTTAGAACACACATGCATCAACATTACAATGAGCGGGTGGAGGGAGGTTTGGAGTCTTCTCTCACCCCCATTCTCTGCGGCCTGCTGGAGCAGGGGGGCTAGGAGGAGGAGTTGGCCGTCCGACTGCGGTCTGGAGTGTGGAGCCTTCCTGCTGCTGCGGAGTCGGGGCGGTCTGCCTCCCCCCACCGCAGGGAAAAGGGAAACACCAGCTGGGTCTGGGTGCAGTTCCCCCCTCCAGAGGCGGGGGCACCTAGACCCGGTTTGTAGAGTACGCTTGGGGAGTGTGATCGTGTGTACAACGTCTCTTTATGTCTGTCTCCACGTTGGTTGGTAAGTGCATATGAGAGCATGAGGGTGGGAATGGATGTTTGTATCTGTGTGTGCCTGTATGTCTGTGTCTATATGTCAGGTTGGGTGTCAGGCGCCACCTCTCTGGGGACACCTCAGGCCCTCCAAGGTTTGGAGGCCTATCTCCCCCTACCACCACTTCCCCTGCCAGTGGTGGACCCCCTCAGACATCGGTGCGTTGGTGGTTCTTTGTGTCCGGGGATGGGCGTCCAGGTACACACCGGCTCACTCCTTGGCGGCCGCTTATCGGGGCCTGGAGCCTGGGGCTCGCTCGGGCCACTTCGGAGGTGGGGTGCCCCCGGCCTCTCGGCCTGGGGCTCGGTCACTCAGGCGCAGCTGGCTGCCAGCGGAGCTCACGGGCGCGTCACTGCAACTCCCCCTGGCTTCTGCTCCGCGGCTGCTGAGTGAGCCCTCATCTGGGACTCTCCTCAGCTCTTTCCGGGACAGTGGCGCAGCTGCCCCTCTGTTGGTCTTCCTTGGTCTCTTGTGTTCTGGGGGCCTCTGGATGTCTGGAGTTTTGATCTCCTCCACACCTGCTTCACGCCCTGGAGGACGGGGCTGTGGCCCCCCCATACCCTCTAGCAGATTATTACATGAAGGAACCTTTTAAAAAAACAAAAAACAAGCGCGTCCATGCTCACAGGTGTACACACGGGTGATCACACCCACAAACTACACCCTTTTTGGCTCCTACCTCAAAGCACACTGTGTTCTGTTGATCTTATGTGCTGCACAATAATGTTTAACATTTAGTATTTACTGTCATATTCCCATATATCATTGTGATGTTGTTTATTCTATTACTCTTGTTCTCTTCTGCTTGCTTTCTTTTTTCTTTCTCAGCAGGTGATCCAGGTGATCGATATATGCATTTTTTTTTTCTCCGCCCGTTCTGTTGGTTTTTGTCTTTTGCCCTTCTCCCCCGTCCCTCTTCTCAGCTTTCTCTCTTTCCCTCTTTCTTTCTCCCCTTCTAAAAAAAAAAAAAAAAAAAAAGGATGTATATAAAGGGTAGCAAACATCAGTTTATTTTTCACATGATGATTCTGATCAGACTCGCTCTCTGATTTCTAACTTTTATATTAGCTGGATTGTGTCAACAGCTGAAAATCAGAAGCCTTTGCTTATATCTTGTTTTTAAAAAACAGTTAACAATAATGTAGCAGCACAGGTCAGCTGATTAAAACCTCTACAGATTTTAAAAAATAAATAAAAATTATATTGGAGCCCAAAAAACATCATATTGTAACTTATTTCTTAGTAATTCTTTTTCCAATGCTACACCCAAACTACACCTGCCAAATCCCACTTTAACCCCTGACTAGCGATGTATTGATGCATGTTTCTTGTGTGGCACACTCTGTGTGTGTGTGTGTGTGTGTGTGTGTGTGTGTGTGTGTGTGTGTGTGTGTGTGTGTGTGTGTGTGTGTGTGTGTGTGTGTGTGTGTTGCACACAAAGCCATTCTTTATGACAGTAACCTTACCCTTCTCAGCTGGCATAGCATACACATGCACAGACATCTGTAAAACACACTTGTGAGGATCTCTGCTGACTGATCCTGAACACCCTGCACTCTTTTACTTTTACTTTAATACAGAATGCATAATAACGGTGTTTTAACACTACATATTTTATTTTATTCAAATGTGCACTTGAAAACCCTAAAACTTAATCCGCTTCTACTATTAAAAAAAGTTACGTGTTTTAGGGTTTCTGCTGTTTTAAGGAGACATTGTAACCTAACTGAAAAACCACCTATGATACCTCCTGTGCAGTAATGAAAAAAATATTTTCAGAGTATATTAAAAGGCAGTGTGTCTAAACAAACAGATTGTAATCGTTTCATCTCTACAAGGACTTTTGGTCCTCACATGTAAATACAAGAAAAATCAAAACACATGCACGTCAAAGACGCAATTAACTGCGTAAAACATGTTGTTTGGACGACAGCCTTTGGCCTTTAAGATTCCCACAGCAGCATCAAATGCATTTTTTCTTTACTGCTTTTTCATCTCAGTCCAATTAACAACTAAGGGTCAGTCAGGGGCTATCTTCCCTGAAACTCTGGGATCTCAATCTCCTCCGCGGGGGTCACGTGATCCGTCTCATCAGCCCGTGGATCTCGGGTTCAAACAGCATCAGAGCGGGTTCAGTGTAAACATGAAGCCCAGCCACTCCCTGCACAATCTCTACCCCCACTGCACTCCCCAAACACATCGCACCTCCTCCGCGCTGTCTATGAAATCACGCACAAGCTCTACAACTCACACACTAATAATCAATCAATAAATATCAGAGCCTCGTTTTGACACTTAGCCTACATGCAGTCGTTTATAAAGTTGTTAATTTGGCCCAAAATTACATTTTGTTTCGGTGGCCTCTTGCAGCTTAATAAGATAAAACTTGAGTTGCATAATCACGTAAGACGGTGGTATGTGTTGTTTTCTTTAGTAAAATAAAGTAGGTCCTTAACTGTTATATTGCAATAGAATGAAAGAAAGAGGAGAAAATGCGTAATTACATATTTATAAGTCTGTAAAAAGGTCTGACATTAAAATAAATAAATGCATAAAACATGTAGTTCAACCTCACATCGCGTATGGATACATGTTTGCACTGTTATAAATGCAACGTAAAAATTGGCTGACTCTAAAAGCTCCACACACTCTCTGATTCAGTATCAAAACAGAAATTGTTGAAGTTTTGAACACAATAAAAAGCTCACTGTGCAAAATGGTGATGAGCAGAGGCAGCGCCAGCATCTTCATGGCTTTTCTCGGGTGTCGGAGCTCTTTCCTGAGGTCTGTCGGTGTCCGTGGAGCAGATGAGTTTTACTCTAAACTCTCTGCAGCTTCTTCAAGTTTCATGTGCAACGGCCACGTGCGCGCTCACGTATCCCGGACAACTTACGGGGCGCGTGCACAAGTTCAGGGTGACCACCCCCTCTTCTCAGACAAAGCTCTCAGAGGAAACATGAGCCTTTCTTTCTGACAGGGGGACCTGCCCGGCTGTAGTAGTAGTAGTAATGTAGTAGTAATGAGAAAGGAAGCTTTTGAATGGTTTCTTCAGCCATTAAACACAAAAGCGTTTGAGGATTCGTTACATGAAACACATTTTATTAACTACATTGTCACTAAGCTCTTTGGAATTTTTTGTACATCACATCATTTTTGTAGTCTCTAGAGACCACAGACTGTATATAAAAGATGGAAATAGATTGTTCTTCACACTTTGAAGCCTCAGCCTAAAGGGTTTTAAAATCCCTGTGAATATTTCGTGAGTCAAAATATTTTTCGGACTCACGTATTCTTAATGCAGCAGTTCAACTGACCATGTCATTTCACTGGCATTTATTTTTGTAACCTACTGAGATTTTTCCAGTTTCTTGTGTCGGAACAACAAGTGCGCTCATAGGCTCGCTGAAAGGATTTACCTGCCTCCACAGATGTGCTCCCAAGAGTTCAAACTGGCACACTGAAACATATACGAAAGCGGCCGTGATCCAGCTTCAACTGCTGGATCAAACTATGGAGATCTCCCAGTTGCTGCTGTCTCGTGAAAATGGGATGAAATCAGAATCCCCATTTCCTCCTTTTCTTGTTTAAGAACGTGTTGAGTTTCTTGTGTTGGGTGTGTATATAACTCACACGGCAAGTTCCGATCTGTAAAATTGAGAATTTCATGTTGATTTTTCACAACGTGTTCAGTGTATAATGGCCTTTAGTTTTACCTGCTGCCATCACAGTATTTTGACACCATATGTGAGTGGGTGAATTTGATTGAGAGGGTTGACTGCTAATTTATCCACTAATGCTGGCTAGCAAGCTGAATCGTTTTTTCCCAGTCAGGCAACAAAGAAACATCAAAATAATATTTACATGTTTGTTTTGCCTTTCGCTGACTAATATAGGGTTAGTCACTAATGATGACTTAGACCTCAGGGGGTTGAAAGGTTCCAATAGCAACAGTTTAGTGACTGCAGAGGTGAAACCTGCTGACAGCTGCCTGGTCTGGACAGTCAAAGCAGCCACACCAAAACTCTAGTATCAAAGTGGACGAATTATAGAAAAAACATTTTCCCAAAATAAAGTTGTTATGAAAAGGAGAAAGTAGCTATAGATACTAAAACTTTAGGAGCCAGCTTCAAGTGGGCCTGACACGTCAACTTTGGCTTCAGTTTCTAGCACTTAAGGTTGTTGCTTGGTAGAGACAAACGACTGAACGAAAGCTAAAAATTACTGGATGTACATTCATCGTGTAAATTATTTTTATATGTTATTTATCCTTTACACAAATATGAGTAAGAGCAGGAGTGAAAACATGGACCATTTATAAGCCAAGGGACCCAAACTAATGGTTGGACATTCTCCTTCAGTATTTTCTGGAAGAGAGCAGAATTCATGGTTTCATCCTGAAGCAGCAAAGCAGCCCCAGACCATCAAACTACCACCACCATCTTTGACTGCTGGTATGATGTTCTTTTATGATATTCTGTGTTAGTTTTACACCAGATGTGACGGGACACAAACCTTGCTAAAAGTTTAATTTTGTCTCATCAGTCCACAGAATATTTTCCCAAAAGTCAAATCATCAGGATGTTTTCTGGCAAATGTGAGTCGAGACTTTGTGGAGTTTTTTACTCAGCAGAAATCTCCCATGGATGAGACAAGTGAGGCCTGCAGTTCTTTTAGATGTTGTTCTGGGTTCTTTTGTGGCCTCCTAGATGAGTTGAAAGTGCGCTCTTGGAGTAATTTTGGTAGGTTGGCCACTCCTGGGAAGGTTCACCACTGTTCCAAGTTTTCTCCAGTCATGAATAATGGCTCTCACTGTGGTCCACCGGAGTCCCAAACCATGCAGCAACTCCAGAATTGCAGTTGTAGAGGTAACTGTACTGTAAAGGGCTCTGTTCATGAAAGGCTTTTATATAGTACAAATAAATGTATTTGATGCCTTTGTGTTTCTACTTATTTTAAGTATTTCTTGGGAACATGTAACCCTTTGCCTGCATATAAAGAATGGAAATCACAGAGGTTGGAGTTTTCCATATGTCTGCAGTGATGAGCCTAAGCCGGAGAGAAGTGGCAGCTGCTGCTGAGCTACTGTGTCTCTGGCTATTAGGTTTCTCACCACCAGCGCCCACACAACGGCACATTGTCACTCATTCTGGTTAATGTGCACACATGCTTACATTTGTGGCCATACGCACACACAAAGACACACACGGGGGACATACATCCAGACACGTGTGCGTAAGTACACACAAAGAGAAACAGTGAAACACTAACTCCCTAAATCTCAGCTGCAACACCTGTTCACAATCGACAGTCCCAGCTGCTCTGCTCGGAGCGGGACACACTGATGTCATGTAACACACACATGCACATGCATAGCAGCACATCTCAGCAACCACTGCTCACTTTACACAAACATACAGAAACAAAGTCAGTCAGATAGTGAATCTCAGAGGACGGGTGACTTTCAAATGCACGGTGACCTTTGATAACAGCCAGTGGAGCAGCTGTCCACCTCACACTTTACTACAACAAAAACCTGATTTGTTCTTTGTAAGAGCATAACCAAGAGATGCATGAAACCTGATCCAGCTATAACTGTAAGTTTTATTAAAAAGCAAAGTTTTAAACATATTCTTAAAAGTAGAGTGGTTGTCTGTCTCCTGAACCCAAACTGGGAGCTGCCAAAGTTATCAGAGATCCCAGCTCTGTTTTGTTGATATCACTCAAACCAACAACCTTGAGCCACACTATGAGATCAGGACTGTCGCTGTGCTCACCCTTGCTCTCATCACAGAGTTTCTAAAATATTTAATACAGTCATTCATACAAAAAACAAAGAGAGACTGCAATAATCCCCATGGTGTTCAGCGTAAGAGTATCCAACATACTCTTAGAAAGCAGCAGTCTACTGGCCGACGATCTCTTTCTTAATAAATCAAACAGCGACATTCAGCAACTTGTAAAACCTGAACATATCACAGAGGATCAGGATTTGACCACAGTCCATGAATATTGAGCGACACAGCTGCCATTTAATGTTAGGCTTTGGTTTGGTGGAAACTGAATGGAGTGAAAATCCAAGTGACAACAGGTGCACTGGAGAGGCAACAACACGACAACCCTCCCAAAAAAGGGAAAGGCTTTGAAGCTGGTGGCCACAGACTGGCTCTTTCCTGACTGATTTTTCTCTACTTTTGCTTTCTGTTATTGTCTGTCACTGCTGTAATATGAGACGGTCCCTGCAGCACATTCAGGATCCACAGATAGTGCAGCTCCTCCAGGATGTCACATCCATAGGTGCCTGACATGTTTCGGTTGGATAAACTGTAATTGCTTCCATTAAATCCATCAGAGATTTTCCTGCATTTTTTTTCCCGACTGACTACTTAAAGAAAGTCACTGTAAGGGTGTGAGAACCTTTTCCGTAGATGTGCATTATGGGGTTCACTGCTTTTTGCTGTATTGTTGTATGCTTTAATGGTAGAAGTGCAGAGAATGAGAAGCCTAAAAACATCAAAACAAGCTCTATATCTGATAAACACCTTTAGTTTTTTACTAACATTGGTTTAGCTACTAAAAATCTTGTAAGAGTTTGAAGCTCAGCGATGCTGAACTCAACGTCATGCTCAACGTTCTAGGATTTTCACATTTATACCATAGACGCGTTTACTAGGAGGCTTAGAGATAACACCGGCATCCGCCAATATTTCTTTATATCTGTTGTCAAGCACGCTTTTTGTTCTACTTCCTAAAACTATCAAAGTTCAACCAACAGATAAACAAGCAGTTTACGTTTTCAGTTTTTATTTGCTCACGTGTCAGGCGTCGAAAACAAGCGCACGTGAAAACAGTGATCAGATTTCATGTCTCTTACTGACATCATTTATTACTCTGATCTGTTTGGAGGTCAGACCTCTGAATCAAGTCTGCAGCCCTGAACAACATGAACTTTATACTTTGCCAGAAGGAAACAAAGAAAAAAAACAGCACTTTAGACAAGATAAGGGAGGGAGACGACCCACCTTTATGAGTTTATGGGAAATTTAAATGAAATGGGAGGGACTAACACTATTTATAAAGATTCAAAGTGCACAATCCAACATTTGAAGCCCAGATGCTAAACATTAATGGTCAATCAGTCTACAGTCAATGAAACAGTTTTACAGATTTTGACATCTAGATGAAGATGAAGACGCCAGCGCTGCTCTCACTGAGCCTTGCAGGTAAGAGGCTGCTCGAGCGTGACCGATCTGTGCTCTTTACGGTCTTTTTCTCCTAAATAGCTGAAATCAATTTAGATTTGAAGTCATTTGTAAGATGTAATCAATCAAATGAAAACATTTCATTCACTCATTATGAGCTGCTTTCTAGGTGTTATGCTGATATAACAGCTAGTAATGATTATGTTGCTATTTTTAATGGGTTAGAACATTTACAACTTCACTTATATAGTGTTTCAAAACCAAAGCTGGGTTGAGGATTGTTAGTTATTGAACTGAACAGGCCTACCAGGCTCCCCCACAATTAGAAGGTAGATCACCACCAAAAAAAGACATAGCATTTGTTATTAAAGTTTGATGTCTGTGTGATTTCTTCAGTAATTATTCAAATATTTTCTCTTTGCAGTGGCTCTGGCATTGCCAGCACTACCCCGTGGTGTGGAAAAAAGTCCAGTTTTAACTAAAGAAAACCAGCTCCCTCTGCTGGGAGACTCGGTTCCACTGCAGGGTCATGTACAGGTGGAGAATCCTGCACCACAGGCCGTACTACCCTCCAAAGAGCAGCAGGAAAAAGTGGCTGAAGAAGACCTGAAGCAGAATGTGGCAGAACTA